GATATTGTTTAGGGTGACGCAGGTGCATCTATTCTTTGCAAGTATCATTTACAAGGTAATTTTCTAAGTATTGTTTACAGTTAACAACCTGCTTCTTAATGAGAAAGAACACAAAATTAGTTAAACTTTCATTACTTAATGTTATACAGACAGTCACAAAAATTATACCAAAAATAATATAAATATATGATAATATGAAATAAAAAGATACTTTGTGGATACGATTTTTAACCGACTTCAAAACACGAGGAGGTTCTCAATTTACGACGCGATTCTCAACGGCATTTGTGAAGCGATTTTGATGATTCTTTTTTGTTGGAAAGAGGGTACCTGAGATATGGACCCATTTAAATTTGAAGAAAATACTCCACCTCTAAGGGTGGCAAACTAGGTAATGAATGACTTTTTAGGTCGGTTTTTTAACACTCTGTACTGTTTTTGGTTATAAAACTATTCGTCAAAAATGCTTTTACCACATGAAAGTCATAAAAACGAACTACATGAAACAAAGATTGAATATTTAGGAAAAATTCCTTCGATCCTACTGGATTCGAACCAACGTCATCCAGTAAACCTTGTCAGACGTTATGCCATCTAAGCCACGGAACGAACGAGCGAATCTTGCGAATTTTTCGATGTGCTTGTTACAGGTCTTTATTTTTTGTTTTAAACGACTTTTTTGCCGAGGTACCATCTGTGACAAATAAGTAATGAAACTATTTTTCCGGATTTAAATCGCGTATATTTGTTTTTTCAAACAAACCGACGTTACGGGCCCTTTACAGGTCCCAAGGTCGCGGTTGACTGAGGTGGTCACACACCTCAGTCAACACACCTCAGTCAACCGTGACCATGGGACCTGAAAAGGGCCCGGAACGTCGGTTTGTTCAGCGTAGTGACGAGCTTAAACAATGACGCTTTCAAGTGTAAAAAATTTACCTATGGAATAAATGATTATTTGATTTTGACTATTTATATTTCCAACCTCATGGTATCACGATTTCGTTTAACTAGCGTAAACGAGTATTTTATGGGGAGCTGCATACGTTTTTACAATAACTACATTTTTTTGAGTATCATTTCCTAAGTTTACAACTTACATTAAAAGTATTTTAATTGAAAAGTCAAAATATTACAAAATGGAAGACTATGTGTTTGTTAGATGTATGGAAAGAAGACATAAGTCTAGATTCCTTAAAAATATGATTAAAAGCATCATCATGATCATCAATCCATTTATACGTCCCACTGCTGGGCACGGGTGTCTCAGGCGAGGGTTGGCATATCATTTAAGTTTATTTGCAATACCTAGAGGTTCTTAATCGTCCTTCTCAGGAAAATCAGGATAGTGAATGAGCATTAGCTTAAAAAATTACGTTTACGTTACGACTTTGACATAATATGTGAAATAATTCAGGGGGTCCACTATCGACCTCCGTCTGACATCCGTCCGAAACAATTACTGTCAAATAAGTAATATTCGACAAAATTAAAAGACAAGTATCAAGAATGAAGCTTCATTCGCATCACGCGTCTTTTCATTTGGTCAAGTATTGCTTATTTGGTAGTAATTGTTTCGGACGGATGTCGGACGGAGATCGAAAGTAGACCCGCAGACCCAAAGAATGTTCCTAAGACTACGTAAACGTCCAGTGTACCTTTTTTTATAGTATCAAGTGATGGGACGGACAAGTCGTGGGCCTGATGGTAAGCTACTCGCCTGTTCATAACGGTTGCAGTGCCACTCAGAGCTTTAAATCGCAAAGATCTGAGGGGCACTACTCCCGTCACTGTAATGTCACCAGTACCCTTACTCTTCAAAACCGGAACGCAGTAATGATAATATTACTGCTTGGCGGCAGAAATAGGTAAGAGTACTCCATAGCATCATCATCATCATCAACCCATTTATACGTCCCACTGCTGGGCACGGGTCTCCTCTCTGGCGAGGTTGGCTTAGCATATTCCATATGCTTATAAGTTTATTTTAAAGTTTCTTGTTCGTTCTTCTCAGGGAACTCAGCACAGTGAACGGGTAGTACCTTAAAAAATGACGTTTGTTTACCGATGAAACTTGACTTTGACATAATATGTGAAATAATTCAGACCCAGAGAATGTTCCTAAGACCACACATACATGATAATGAAAATATAGCATTAAAATTTAGCGCTATGTATATTCTACATAATATGATCGTGGGGTATCTATAAAAATACGTTTTTCATACAAAACTGAGGGCATATGTGTTCGGACCTGAAGCATGTAACTATATTTAGTACATTTTAAGGTACAGTCAACAGCACATCAAGCACAGAACATCACTTTTATTCGAATATTGCCTCTGGAGCATGAAACTGATGATGTCTTAGGAGATTAAACGGCTTTATTGAAAATTTGTCCCAAATTTCCATTACCATTATCAGAACACAAAATTAACGACTGTTTCCTAAATTTATAAATATAACACCTGCATATTTATTAGAAATATATTAAATAAAAATGTCTACTCGTAAATAAATTTTACTAAAAAACTACTTATTCAAAAACGTAATAGAGGCGTGCTAATGATATAATATTTGCAAATACCGAACGAATTATTAAAGAAATAGTCATTCCAATTATTAAAAAACAAATTAAAATTCCACATTACAGGGAATTTCTCGCAGTTTTGAAGTTTTTAATTGTATATAATTGCTATTAAAATGTCACCATGGCACACCCCGGACACTCCATACAACGGTCGAAAGTTATTTACCTACTACTACTACATACAGCAAGGTGCTATCTGCACACGTGCGAATGTGTGCGTGAAGTGGCAGGGATACCCATCTCTTGCTCGTACTATTATGTTACGTGGTCAGAGCGGCAACATAGCAAAAATTCTAACGCGGTTTTATTAATCCACTAACTAGAATAATATTGAAAATTTATTTAAAAAATATATTAAAAGCACTTAAAATGTTATATTTTGGACAGGTACCTTTAAATAAGGTAAGCAAAGTATTTGAAATTGCGTGTCGAACTTTATTATTACCTAGTTAATAATTAAGTATATTTACTACGTAATATTTATCGGCAATACAAATTGAAAATTCTATAACCCTTATCTGTCTCACGAAGTTATGGCGTTTTATTATATTGATATAATAAATCTGTATTCTATATTACTCTGCACTAAAGAAAACAATAATTGAATGAGTCTCAGACATTTTTTATTTACTTCATTTCATCTTTCAAAAAACGACATTTACTCCTCTCTTTATCCCGTTTAGATGATTATAAACAGCCGTACTGATTATAAACAGCCGTACATCCTGATTAAAAAGTTTAAAAACACTAAAATCAAAGGATTTTACTTTGTAATGTAATCTGTGCCCTTATTAAGTAGTTCAAATTACAATGATTACTTCATAAATAACATATACAACGGTCAATCTCGGATTGGTGTTCACTACCTAATTTCCGTGACAATTTTTATTATTTAAATATTCGAGCACATTATCGTGTAATTATTAAATAATATATTTGAACAGTATTTTAGAATCGAATATTTAAATAACAAAAATGATACAAATTGAACATTTAAATAACAAAAATTGCCACGGAAATTAGGTAGTGAACACTAGTCTGAGAATGACGGAAAAAAGGCACGACTGACTTAGGGTCGTATTCTAGAACTATACTCAATGCTCAAGTTAGGATTTGAGTATGGTTTAAAGCACTCGAAATCATACTCAAGTCCCTGCCATTAGGGTCGTATTTCCAGTGCTTAAAATCATACTCAGATCCTAACTTGAGCATTGAGTAGAGTTCTGGAATACGACTCTTAGTGCCGTCCACTAACTAAAACGTGACTGAGTGACAAATTATCAAATAACCGTTTTAAATAGCAAAACTGGAGCACAAAATTATCTTTCGAAAACAGTTAAAATTAGTTAAAGTGTTCGACTTATCGGAAGTCATCCTAACAATGCATAGCTGAAATATCATTCAACAATTTCAATATCCTAAAACTGGGTTATAGTTTTTACGATATTTTAAAGAAATTACTTTGTCACTTACCCGCATTTTCGTTAGCGGGCGGCAGTATAATTGTGCCTTTAATTCCATATAAGTTACGTATTAAAATTAAAAATCACATTTAAATTAATGTATTTAAAACAATCACATTTGATTCTCTAATCTGTAGATAAGAGTTACTCATTCAAGTTAATGAATTACGACTTTTGATACAAGTATCACATTTTGTATTGTGAAGCTTACAATTTGTAAAGCTTGCTATTTCATAAGATCAAATTTGTTTGTTGGTTATATCTAAATTTTGTGGAGGAAATAAAGAAATTTATTATTATTATTATTAAAGATTGTTAGTAAATTATATTAAATAAATAATATGAATAATAGGTACCTATTTATCGAGTTCGTTTTCGCGATTGTCGCGAACTTTGGAAATACAATTTTTTTTTGCTCTAAATCTTGTATTATTTATTTTTTTAAACAAACTAACGTTTCATACCCTTTACCGGTTTCATGGTCACGGCTGACATAATATTTTCATTTATTTTTAAATATAGTAATTTTCTAGTAATTATGCTCTACCTATTTGATAGTATTTCATATCCGAGTAAAATTTTCACGAAATGTATGCCTGGAAAATTTTCTAGACCCCACAACTTAGATCGACCCGACCCGCCTTCTGCACCTGCTGTAGCCAATCACGATCTGCCACCCTCATTACACCCCTATAGCCACCAACCAGAGATGAGAAATCTGTTGTTGCTAACATTTGGGGTGCTATTTACCCCATTTTTTCGAAATTCAACTTATAGGTGTATATTTTTAAGGCAGCTTTTTGATTGCAAGTGAATTTTAATAAAAGTTATGATGTCATATTTTGATTTAGCACACTCAGTGTTCAGATTCTGTTGTAGTCGGTTGTGAAGGGTGGTCTGGTGGTTAGTGCATACGGGGAAGACCAGGTATCAAGATTCATTTCCCGCTGATGTCCTACGGCAGCGAGACGCCGCACGTTTGGAGCAGCTCTGCAGTAAGTAACTATTCTTCGTCTCACTCATTGGGGGAAAAGATAAGTAGTCATTTGAAAAATGTATACTGTATGCTACACATGTTCTATTTAGTAAAGTTGATAAAAAAAAAATGGTCTAAGTAAATTACGTATTGAATACAGTGGTTTTCTTGTAAAATTTCGAGGTAAGTTTGTGTTTTTTTTTTCTATCGTGACAATATTTAGGAATCGTGTTTTCGCATCGTATAGTAGTGAGTGTAGGAATATCCGCAATATCATTATATAATTTTCCAAAATGATTGATTCAACAATTTCACTGTTATGCGGAGTCAACCAAAGCCATTTGAGATTGTAGACTCTTAACACTGATTTCATAGCACACATTCAGGCAGAGAACTATTTCACCACATTCATTTATTATGATTACAAGCGACCCGCCTGTCTGTAACAGTTGCAGTACCGCTCAGAGATTTAAATAGCAAAGATCTGAGAAGCACTGCCACTGCACCCGTCGTCCTGACAAGTCCCATGTACCTGTAATTTCACTAGCACCCTTGCCTTTCAAGACTGGAACGCAGTAATGCTCACATTACTGCTTGGCGGCTGAAATAGGTAAGATGGCAGTACTACCCTGGAAGAACTCTTTCACAAGGAGTTTTACTGCTACTAAGTTTCATTAATTTAGACAGTTAGGTACCATTCTTTGGAGCCTTGCCCTTCAAAGGTCGATTGAAAATTGGAAATAACAGATAGATAAATAAATAATTTAACCACCGTTACAAAACCAATAGGAATATGATAATGATAAAAGGGGAAAAGAGGAAAGAAATACCAATGAAATAGATGATGCGGGAACCGTGCAAAGAGTCGCAATTTAAGTCGGCTTTGCCGGAAACGAAATCGCTGATGATCTTCTATTACCCGGTTAGAGAAGAGCGCGGATGGTTTTATCAGCAGATTAGCGCTGCTGATTATGTATTAGCACAGAAAAAGAAAGTGAGAAATATATTTAGTTTATTATAACTTAATCCAAATACAAGTAAAACAAATGTAAAGTAAGCTATGATACTTTTAAAATAAGCAATAAAAAAGGAACCTTAATTATTATACCATTATAAAACGGGATATTAGATCCTCAAAGAAATAATTGATCTATTGATCTATCTATGATAAACGTGCACTTTTTTTAACGAATGATATTTTTTTAATGTTTGATTGCTAATTGTTATGTATATATTAGTTGATCTATCGATAAATTGTAAATGAACTCCATTCAAGGTAACTCTATTATTATGTTTAAGCATACTAAATTAATATTTGGTTTTTGAAAAATAATATTAGATCGTCTTTTTTTATTATTGGTCTTTTCTTTTAACGATTGATGACTTTTATAACCAAACATATATCTTTTGATATTGACCTCCTAATAAATCTTGGTTGCTTGGTTGCGTCCTCTATTCAATAGGTTAGGTTAGTATATGAAAAAGCAGCAGCCGAGCGAGCGTGTCGCGCCATCGGTCGGCGAGTGCCAGAAGCCAATTGCTTGCGATTCCGAACATGTTTTGAGATCAAATTATATTATAATTAATATAATATATAATCAAGATTTACTTAGTTTTGAAAATAAGTATTAAAATTTTATTTTTAAAGCGTATTTGTGTTAGTTTTTTGGTACAAGAATCAGACTAACCAAGTTAAGTGGTCCTACAACCTCTCTCAGGCACGGGTTTGTATGCGGCGTGAGAAAGGGGGGCTGTCGTCTCCAAAGCTATTTAACATGTATGTTAATGATCTAATAGTCGAGCTCAACGGCATGCGCGTCGGATTGGGGAGATGTTGGTAGTCTGTGAGGCCTACGCCGCATCGCACGCACATCAAAGTCAAAGATTATTTATTCCAAAGGTAAAATAAATTTACACTTGAAAACGTCACATTTAAGCTACTGCTCGTTCACTACGCTGACCTCCCTGAGAAGAACGAGCGAGAAACTCTAGGGATTGCTCTTTTCAAATAAACATAATATATAATACACTTCGAATTAAATTTGTGTGGATTCTGGAGCCATGTCGTCTTTCCATACATCTTTATCTAACACGTAGTCTTCAATTTTGTAATATGATTTTTCGATCAAAATATTTTTAGTGTAGTTTTTAAACTTAGGAAATGATAAACTTAATATATGCTCCGGAATCTTATTGTAAAATCGTATACAGTTCCCTATAAAACAGTTGTTTACCTTGGTTAAACAAAATCGTGGTACCATGAGTTTGGATTTAGCTCTAAGGTTAATACTATGGATATCTTCTTTCTTATTGAAATTATGTATATTTTTACGGGCATATAAAATATTTGAGTAAATGTACTGTGATGCCACAGTCATGATACCAATCTCCTTAAACTTTTCTCTGAGAGAAACCCGAGTGCCTAGACGGTACACAGAACGAATCGCTCGTTTTTGCAATACAAATATGGTTTGAATATCTGGCGCTCTACCCCACATGAGAATCCCGTAGGACATTATACTATGGAAGTAATTAAAGTAAACTAGTCTAGCAGTACTAACATCGGTAAGCTCACGTATTCTGCGGACTGCGTATGCAGCGGAACTGAATCTGCTGGCCAGGGAAGATATATGTGGAAACCATTGAAGTTTACTATCTAAGGTCACTCCCAAGAAGACTGCTTTATTAACAAAGTCTAACTTTTCTCCGTTTATTTCTATGCTTGGACTAGTCGATTTTACGTTAGGCAATTGACATGACAAAATTGTCTTCTTGGCATTAAGCAATAAATAGTTAGCATTAAACGAATAAACTACCTTAGAGAGTGTATCATTAATATGGTCATAGTTAATGTCATGTCTGTCTGTTTTAAAAATCAAGGATGTGTCATCAGCATACAACACTATTTCGCAATGGTCCTTAACAAATTTGATATACAATGTTAAAAAATGTGACCTCATGGTCTTCAAGGCCGCCGGTAAGTGTCCAGAGACCTTTCCATCGATTACACTAAACGGCATTTACAACAAACGTATTGTCAGGGTCTGTACATGGGCTGTTTGTGGTTAAGGTGTTCCCAATGGTCGCTAAATTCCCTGCGCGTCCAATATAATAACGTGTTCAGGATGATGTTGAGACTACCTGCAGTGCAGTGCTGCAGCGCCTCCGGGATGTTTGCCTTGGCCAATACGAATTGCTTTCATGCCGTTTTGCGGAAAAAATAGCATCGTTGGTTAGAAGTCTCCGAGGGAGTAACAACAGCATTCTGAAGGTTGTGGCAGAGGACCACACAGCGCCTGTACTGAGACATCTCGTACGGACAATGATTCCGCACGAGATTCCTCGTAAGTACATGACATTTTAGACTTTAATTAATTAAGTAATATGTTATATAATATTCGTACTAACAATAGCTTATAAGTTTATTTTATTACTACGAACACCAACGGATCCTAATATAAATCGAAATAAATATTTTGAATTTGAATTTGAAAAAAAAAACTATCAACGTTATTTTATACAAATCAAACATTTTTTGCGTAGCTCAGAACAGATTAAAATATCGACTGATTTAATTTATTTTATGTGTTCAGAGAAGGAGGATCAATCATTAAAAAAGTATATAAAGTATTTTAGGCATCTTATTTGTACAACTTTTTTACCTACACGAGTGCTTTTGTACTGTACGCTGAATACGCTTAGTGTTGTGACGGCTCTGAGGTTGTGCTCTGGGCACATTCCTTCAAAGATTTTATGATGGGCATTACACCAACTCCATATTGTAGCGTCATTGAAGACGTTTATCACGTTTTGGAATGTATTCGGACTGAGAGACTCAGGAGATAGTTAAGCAGTGTGGCCAGCACTTTACAAAACATAGGTATTTAAGTAGTCTGAATCAAATGACTTTGGTTGATTCCGGATAAAAGTGAAAGTGTTCAATCAATAACTTTGGAAAAATATACTTCTAATAAAATTGAGGATATGCACTGATTACTATGGTGTGAAATAACGATACGTAAAAATTTTCACAATCAACACAAAGTTACCTCGAAATTTTACCAATTATTTTTGTATATAATCAAGTGAACTAAATAGAAAACGTACAGAATACGATATACCAACAAATGGCTTTAATTAAAAAAAAAAAATTCTGAAATAAAGCCAGATGGTCCCTGCGGCTCCACCCAAACAAAATGAACCGTATTAGCGCGGAAAAAAATTTGATTCGAGCTGGGGTAGTACCGACTCTCACGTAGTATTACGGAGCGATTACCTATTTTTATAAACTATATAGTGCTTAAAAACAGATTAGCTATATTTATGTAACAATTAAACAATATAATTAGGAGATAACATATAACAAGGCTTCTCTATAGTCATGATTTTGATACTAAAGCCAGGTTTTGGACGGTCTTTTCAACATCTCATCTTATTCATGGCGAAATAACACAAAATAGCAGCAGAGTTTCTTGTGAAAGAGTGTACTTACCTTTTTCTGCCGTGAAAGAGTAATACTCTCATTACTGCGTTCCGGTTTTGAAGGGTAAGGGTGCTGGTGAAATTACAGGCACATGGGACTTGTCAACTTATGTGTGTGTGTGTACAAAAACTCTGAGTGGTACTGTAACTGTTATGAATAGGCGTGTCGCTTACCTTCAAGCCCATGACTAGCTCGTCACATAGCTTGGTGTTTAAAAAAAACTGAAAATTTTTAATTTAAATTTTTAATAATTTTTTCAATGTGAACCACACCAATTGCCTGGCCTCAAACTAACGAGTTTCCTGTACTATGAGTACCATAGCAACGGAATTCACTCCTGGTGCCAGACCAGAACTAATTAAGAAAAGTTCATTTCCCAAATTGATCCTACCGGGAATCGGACCCAGGACCTCCTCATCTAGCCCGCAGTGCATATCGTTGGGCCACCGAGGACGTCTTCGGCCTCACTATCGTCTAATTATTATTATTTTATTGTATCAAGTGACGGAACAAACAAGTCGTGCGCCTGATGGTAAGCTACACGCCTGTCCACAACAGTTTCAGTGCCACTCAGCTCTTTAAATCATAAAGATCTGAGGCGCACTGCCACTGCGCCCGTCACCCTGAGACATAAGTCGACAAGAGCAAATTTTTTTACAATATTTAGTCGCGCAATACATTACACGACGTCTTAGGCTACAGCCCAAGCCCTCTCATTGCGAGTGGAGGCCTATGCTCAGCATTGGAACTATACAGGCTTCCTGTATTTAAGTTTATTGAGTGCCAGGATATTTCACCACCATGATATTCAATTATCTTTCGTGACATTACTCCACTAGTTGTTATAATTATTAATACAAAGATCGGACACTAAGAAAAAATTCCTTCGATCCGGATAGATTCGAACCAATTTCATCCAGCAAACCGTGTCAGACCCTACGTCAACTAAGCCATGGAACGAACCTGCGTACCTTACGGTTTTTTCTATGTACTTGATGCAGATCTTTGTAATTTGGTTTTTAACGACTTTTTTGCCGTGGCGCCATCTGTGAGAAGCTTTACAGAAGATTTCCAGCTACCATCAGCTGACTAGAGATGTCGTTTTAATAATTGTAATTAAGTTGAATGGCAGGATGTTTAACTACCACGATTTTTCAATTATTTTTGTGTAATTGTGAATGAATGAATGTATGAAATATTCTTTATTGCCATTGACTTTTTATTGCACATAAAGTTACAATTGAAATACAATATAGCAATTACTTAAGTTTGTAGATAGTTAGTTAATGTATATGTACAGGCGGCCTTGTCGCTATGTAGCGTTTTCTTCCAGGCAACCTTAGGATAGAAATTTGAAAAGGGGTGCAACCAAAGAATATCATTATAAGTACACTACGTAATAATCATTAATAAACTTACTACTTACGTAGATATATATATATATATATATACAAATATTATTAAATTACTCCAATAGTTGTTATAATTATTTATTATAACGATCGAACACTTACAAAAAAAATCCACATTCCGGTTGGATTTGAACCAACGTTTTGTAGCAAGCCGTGGCAGATGCTATGTCAACTTATTCACTATAGGCTAACTACTTTTTTTATTATTTAAGTGCTCAATGATGCTTTTCTTGTGCAGGGCAGCGAAGTGTCGCCATACGGGCCCTTGTGGGACGCGCCGCCGGCGCCTGTACCCTATCCAGACATACTGGCCTTCCCGCCTGCCGATCTCGGTAAGTACCTATCATCCTCTCCTGGGGCATTACCATGAACTGTTATTGCGATTCGACTTTGAATCTAAACACGTCCGTTTCGCTTATTCGTACCATGTCTTAAAAACGATCATGACAACAGCATTTACGCCAACGCCAAACCAAATCCTAAATTGAAACTCCTTTGAAATCTATATCATTCATTCATCTGAATGAAGCAGAGAGTTATGTCGAGGCCAGCGATAATCTATTTATTAGATAATTAGATTGTGACTGGAAGACGATTGTCAATCTGTAAAGTGTGCTGATTGTGTCTTACTTGGTACGGGTTGGTGTCCGCAACCCGACGTCGAGGCGCTTATTTTGCGTGTGGTGGGTGCAGGGTCCTACTCGTGCCACCCAAGCTCCTGCAGGAATCTCAGCAGCCTCCTCGGTTTGCTGAAGACTTCGGGAAGCGACCTCGGCACTCCAAGATAATTCGCCTTGTAGTTGGCCACGCCGGAGCACTGTAGTAGGATGTGCGCAAGCGTTTCCTCCCCTTCCATGCACTCTGCATAGAGGGCTGACCTAAATTGAAAAGTGCGCATCCTTGCCACAACAGAACATCCATTTTAATAATATTTTTTGTTATTTGAACGTGTTGCTCGACGCCGTAACTTGCCATGATGATTTGTCTTTAGGGATTGAAAAATAAACAATAGATTTGACAAAAGCAGTCTCAACAACGTGGACGCTATGAATTGTCAAAATCTACCCGCCCTTGGAAAACCCTTTATATGTCAATAACTCTCTTTTTTAGTATAAAGTATAATTGACCAATTTCTTCGTAGAATTTTTAAAATTCTCTTCTGAAAAAGGGTGAGTATGCGTTTTGTTCTTTATGTAAAGGGATATTTAAAATCGTATCATGCCCTGTAAAATGTAACCTCATAAAGCTATTGTCAAACTGTCCATCTTGTCAAAAGTCATCTTATTCCGTTCCGGATGAACATTTCTCGTGTTCGTAGCACATTTTACAAATGTGGCCTTATTACACCAAGGTTCCGTTTTGTCTATTTCTAGATTGAATTAATTTTTTTAATAAATCCATTGTTCTTTTCAGTGTGGTCGGCGGCGGGATGCGGCCGCGGTGGCGCACGGACTACCCCGCCGGGGAAGAAGCCGCGTCGTCGCGTAGCATCACTAGCGCAACGCCGCGCTGCCAACATCCGCGAGCGACGACGGATGTTCAATCTGAATGAGGCCTTTGACAAATTAAGGCGGAAGGTAAGGCACTGTCTCAATAAAAACTAAAACTCGATCTTTATTTTATAGATAAACAAATTACACATGAAAACGTCACATTGATTGAACTCTACTTCTCATTCGTAAGGCGGATTCCCTTCAGAAGAATGAGCAAGAAACTCTAGGACTTGCCCTTTGTAAATTAAGATTTGTATACCTTTATAATATTTATTTCAAATATGATAGACCAAGACAACCTGCAAGAGCTAAACGGTTCATTACCACGGATTTTTGTCATCCAAGTTTTTGTTTCACTGTAGTTTTAAACCTCGTAAACGGCAAATTTTGAATGTTAACCGGAATCGTGTTATAGAATCGTATACAGGGTTATTTTTAAAATAGCTACTAACAACCTCACTGGACTATATTACTAACATCATAAACAACAACTTTTGCTCCTTGACTTTTTACAAAAGTTACGTGCAGTAGTAGGTATTGAACCGTTCGGTCTGTGTATTGGACTTTCAACGATATGCCAACAGGGCAAAGTTTAAATTATATTAACAGATTCGAAACTACAACCAATCTTTATGAAGAGTGCATAGTGTTTCAAATTACGAATGTGAGATTTGGAGACAGCGGTTCTGATAGCAAACGAGGCGTAAGGCACTTCTATTGTTATTTTTCTTACGTGGATATAATACAACCTTAGGGTCGAGCGTTTGGAGTTCCGTCTCAATGTGAATTTTAATTCGTTTCTGATGAGAGTGCTGATCGATCATTTATCGACTTCGTATATCGACGATTCCGAGGCCGGTTACCTGACACCAGATTACCGCCACACGTTGCCGTCAAGTGCAATTAGTGTAGATTAGTTACTTAGTTTTATCATATTATATCTATGTTTGCAGCTTTAATGTGTATATTATGTGGGTAATACTTGCCTTATTTATATGAATAGATAGAAATAAAATAAATATACCCTTTTGCTTATCCAGGTACCAACATTCGCATATGAGAAGCGGCTCTCGCGTATAGAAACTCTCCGTCTGGCGATCACCTACATCAGTTTTATGTGTGAGCTCCTACACGGCTCTCCGCAGCCCCATCATGCGCCTCAACCATCACTCCATCCTCCACGACACGTGTTTGATGCTGAAGTACCTTGGTGCGCGTAAAACAAGACCGGGTACTGTAGGGATTTAACACTGAACGCTCGTATACAGAGTGTAACAAAAATCTCCAAGTGTAACAGCTGGTGAATAGTGCACAGATCTATTAATTCACACACATTATTTGTTTCATGTGGTTTGTATTATTTTTATGACTTTGATAAACTAACGTTGAATCACATGTGGCTTTATTATACAAAAAGTACTTCACGTTTAAATAACACACACACAAACACACGAACAGACAATGCAAGGGCGTTATCCGCGTAAGTTATCTTTGGCATTCTAACGAGTTACTTAGCTACATGAAGTAGCAATAGAAAGCGGCAATCCCGTAGGAATCTCATATACGGTACCTACAAGCTGTGAATTCACGAAACGCCCACACGGCTGTGGTACACCGAGGGAAAGTGCTTTAAATATTGCAGATAGGACATTTTACTTTGTAGATACATGATTTTATATTTAAAGACTTTTAAAAAATTACTTTCTAATAGTAACTTTTTAAAAGTCTTTAGTAACTTTTTAAAAGTTACTCTGAGAAGCTAGTAACTAGTAACTTTTTAAAGTTACTCTTTTATACTTTTTAAAAGTTACTAAAACCAGTAACATTTTAAAAGTTACTCTGCGAAGCGAACCGACCAAACGTGATAAAAAACACCTGTATTTTTTGTTTAAATTGTATAATTGAAGGGTAATCATTTGAATTAAGATGCTGTGTTACATAAAAGGAATTAATACTTATAGGTCTTCTCGATCCGCGTCATAAAAATACTGGTGTTTTTTTCCACAATTGATGATTTAATTTCCAAATAGAGAAAGCAATTTTTAAAACATTTCAATCAGTTTCCCTTTATGTTCCATAGCCCTTTATATTTATCTGATGTACGTATATAATAGCAATTTTAGCGTTAATACTTATAAGGTATATAATATCATACTATCCGCTACAGGCAAATTGATGAACTAACAAGAAAAATATTCTTGTGGATTATTACTATTTCTAGTCTTCCACTAGTCAGCTTTAAGGTGTATCTTTTGTAGTTTTTAAGATTTCTGTATCTATCTTATTAATTTAAAGAGTAGAGTTTTGAATAAATAAGGAAATATGAAAAATTGTATTAATTGGAAAATTCCATCATCGAAAAAATGTGTGAAATTTTAAATATAATTTACATGTTCAAATATTTTATTTTTATTTCATAGGTGAACAAGTTTACACTCGAAATCGTCACATTGAACAAACTCTAACACTCATTCGTAAGGTTACTACGCCCGTGAGAAGAACAAGGAACTTTAGAGTTGCTCTCTGTAAATGTTAGTATGTACACATTTATCTTTTACAATATTGATTTCAAATATCTATCACTATCTAAGATTTTGTTATATAAGTATGCCTGTAGTAAGTTTTTGTTTAAGTAAATTTTGAATATCAACTGGAATATACACTCCCGGACACATATTTCGAGCCACCTTGCATTTTTAGTATTAAATGCCCTAAGCTTAAAAAATATGTTTGATTGATCAAACAACTATAAATGCAATTTTGAAGCTGGTTTACTAAACGTCATTTCCGTATGTCAGTATAGAAAATTTGATTTTGTGACACAGGGAAAAACGAGTTAAAGGGTCGTATTCCAGAAGTCTACTCAATACTCAGGTATTGAGTATTGCAGTGAGCACTGAAAATCATACTCAAGTCCTTGCCATTAGGGTAGAATCCTGACTTGAGCATTGAGTAGAGTTCTGGAATACGATTCTGAGGGTCATATTCTAGAACTCTACTCAATGCTTAAGTCAGGATTGCAATTGAAACACAAACACTGGAAATACGACCCTAATGGCAGGGACTTGAGTATGATTTCGAGTGCTTTAAACCATACTTAAATCCTGACTTGAGCATTGAGTAGAGTTCTAGAATACGACCTTAAGTGTCACAAGTCTTGAATTCAAATTTGTGAAATGAAATTCTATACCCTGTTTCAAATGAATTGAGAGTAAAGGTAAACATTGAGTGCATTGACCCGACCATAGTCGGTTTAGTGATGGGCAATTGTAGAGTAATTTACTAATCAATTATTGAATGAATCAGATCGATCAATTGAATCTGTTGGACTAACATCAAGTGAATTCCGTGCATTTGACCGTTGTAAATTGATTGAAGGTGATACATAAAAAAACGTTTCTTTATTTACGATTATTGACATTTATTGTTTAAAAGTTAGAAGCTATCAGTTAAATACAGAAAATTATGAAAATACTTGATAGTTAACAAGCCGCTAAATCGTTTGTAAGCGGTACAGAAATAAGAGTTGGTCAAATGACTTCAAGACGTAAGTTTCTGGTGACTCTTGAGGCAATCACTTATTCAAACTATGATTCACTCAATTGAACTTTTTTCCGTACATCCCTATGCAACCATAGACATTCTAGACTATGGATTGTCAAATCAATCTCAGTTTTCGGCGAAGATTTTTCAATTATGATTTTATAATGCATAACAAACGAATATTGTTGGAAAAAGTGGTGAGATATCTAGTGGAAACCTACAAAATACACATAAAAGTGTTACTTATTCCATATAGTGAGTGATTTCTTCAGAATTTTAACCCAACTGGTTTGTTTACGTTTACTCTCAATTCTATTGAAATAGACTTTAGTAAAGAAATTTTAAAGAAAACACTCGCTTATCGCGTTATAGCGTTACTGCGTTATTGCCTCCAAGAGCGTTGACAACGGCCGCCATGCAATTTTGGCGTAGAATTAATTAACATCAATATGAAATGCTGTGGAATGTTGTCCCATTCTTCCTCAATGGCCACTTTCAACTCCGGTAAGGTTTGCGAGGCTGGGTGGTGAACTCGAACACGCCTCTTTAGCTCGTCCCATAAATGTTCTATTGGGTTCATATTATGGCATTAAATGGTGGCAGCCGCGGCCTCGTCACAACCTCAAGCGCAGTTTTGCCTTCGGTGGACATTCCTCCCCAGGCTGTCCCCCCGCCACAGCTCACTTTCTCTTCAAAGCAACACTGCACAAAACGCTCTCCTTGTCTTCGGTAGACCTTGTTTCTTCCATCATTACCATAAATCATAATCTTAGTTTCATCAGTGAAGAGTACCTGGCTCCACTGACGTGGAGTCCAATGCAAGTGTTCTCGTGCAAATTGAAGTCGCGCCATTCGATGAGCTCGCTTCAATTTGGGCCTTATGTGGATTATGTGGAGTTAGACCACGTTCCTTAAGTCTCCTTCTCACAGTTCTAGCGCTAACAGCCACTCCATGAAAGTCTCGAAGCTGTTCTTGAATCTGTACTGAAGTCAGTTGACGATTTCGTAAGCTCGTCGTGAAGATAAATCGATTTTGCCTTTCAGTTGTCACTCGAAATCGTGGTCTTCCTTGACGGCGAACATAGCCGCCAGTCTCTAAGTACCGATGGTATAACCTTTGCACAGCGGAACTACTTAAATGCAGTTGTGTACTTACATTGCGCTGACTAAGTCCAGACTGCAAAAGTGCCACAGCTCTTCAGGCGCAGTGTCCATAATTCCTTCGAGAAATTTGGTTAAATTTAGAGGAAAAACAATGTAGTACTCCTTTATTGTTAAATAAAATAATTAAATAAACATTGAAATTATTTCGTTTTGACTTGCACCTTACGCTCCCTTATTTCTTTAAAAACAGCGACGAATCACAACTTTTCACCGTTTTTCAAATTCGTAAATTCAAATTTGGAACAACAACACACTATAATAACGGGGGAACCTGCCATCATTAGAACTGCATAAAATCTTTTTCTTTAATAAAATAATATTTTTATATTCTACGTCTTTCAAAATAAAAATTCAAGGTAGCTCGAAATAAATAATAGAAGCGTATACATATCGCCTTAAATGAATTTGTGACTTTGTGAACAAGATTATCAAGAACATCTAGTTTATTTTTAATCGACTTCAAAAAGGGCGAGGTTCTTAATTGGACTGTTTTTTATATTATGCGATTACTCCGGTATTTGTGAACGGATTTTAACGATTGTTTTTTGTTACAAAGAGGGTACCTCAGTGTTGGTCCCATTTAAATTTGAACAAAATATTCCATGTGGCAAACTAGAGGTTCGGTTTTGCGCATTTTCCGGTAAGCGATTTCAATATAACTTGGCGAATAGATGTAATTCTAATAAAAAAGCCGAAAAGCAAACTTTTGAGACCGTTTTTTTATAATAAAAAAGTTATAATTTTATGGTACCGTCCCGGGACGAACAAGTCATGCGCCTGGTGGTAACCGAACGCGCCTGTCCGTAGTAGGTAGTTGTAGTGACACTCAGAGCTTTAAATCGCAAAGATCTGCGGCGCACGTTGCCACTGCGTCCGGCGTCACTAAGTGACATAAGTTACAAGTCCCATAAGCCTGTAATTTCACCAGCACCCTTACACTTCAAAACCGGAATACGGTAATGCTCACTTTACTGTTTGGCGGCAGGAATAGGTAAGGTTAGGTAATAGGTAGGGCATATAGGGCATATAGGTAAGGCAGTACTTCCCTGGACGAACTCTTTCACAAGGAGCTCTACTGCTAATAGATCTTGTCAGATAGAGAAAAATAAATATTCAACCTCTCTTCAACCGCCAATAATTTCTAATATTTAGTTATTTTGTACGAAAAGAGAATAGTTTTTTTTATATGTTTGTAATATAAATAGTAATGAACGTTATGATGTTTTTTACTACCATGCATTGACTTTTTGTAAGTCAATGCTACCATGGTATTTATTATTTCTTGTTAAATTATGGTATTTGTATTAACAGAATCTTTGTCCTCCTTTGTACACAATGAAAACCCTAAAGAAAATTTTATTTTCTTGCAAATGAACAATTACACCTAAATACATTTCATAATGTCCTCTTACGTATTTTTTTTTCATAATATCAAGTGACGGGACGAACAGTCGTGCGCCTGATGGTAAGCTACACACCTGTCAATAATAGTTGCAGTGTCACTCAGAGCTTTAAATCGTAAAGATTTTAGGGGCACTGCCACTGCGCCCGTTACCCTGAGACATAAGTTGACAAGTCCCACGTGCCTGTAATTTCACTACTGTATTGTTACGTTATGAATCACCTAATTTGTATATTATGCATATTCACTATCAATTATCCTAATGACTTCCTCAAAAGCTTCGGTTAGTCATTCATTAGTAAAATGCTTTCTTCCTAAATGACCCAGTATAAAACCACAGCAAAATGGGACAGTTTACTTACTTTCGATACGTTTCATGTCAGTGTAACATAAAGTTTTATATTTTGTGACAGTGTTGAAGTGACTGTGAAGTTTTACAAAATGCGGTTGGCGGTAGTCAATGTAAGTATTATTACCCTTAATAAAACTACTATATATTTAACAGAAGAAAAAAAGTGAGAATACAAAATAGTATCATATATATTTAAATACATAGTGACTGTGGAACACCAACTTTTCTATAGGGGAGACCCATGGCCAACAATGGGACGTGTGTGATGTGTAAATGTTCGTAAATGTTACATGCATCTAATTCTATTTATCGGTTGATATTACAAATTTAAGTAGCAGTAGACCTTACCTATTTCTGCCGCCAAGCAGTAATGTCAGCATTAGTGTGTTCCGGTTTCGAAGAGTAATTGTGTTGGTGAAATTACAGGCACATGGGACTTGTCAACTTATGTTTCAGGGTGACGGGCGCAGTGGTAGTGTCCCTCAGTTTTTTTTGAAATTTAAAGCTCTGAGTGGCACTGTAACTGTTACGCACAGGCGCGTAGCTTACTGTCAGGCGCACGATTTGTTCGTCCCGTCACTTGATATTATAACATTATGATGCACATATTCATAGATGATAATTTCAAGTTCCTTTACGGTTAATTTACTTATTAGATAATGCAATTTCTGCATAAGACAAAGTAATATTCTAGTATAACAACTCAATAGACAACAGAAACTCACGTCTGCCCATATTCTTTTTGTGTAGAAGCAGTTTGGCTGCGAAAGCAGCAGCGACATGTTTTGTTTTAATTAAATTTGGTTCATCGCCGTGCAGTTGAAGATTCATGTCGTTGAACAATTTATACAGTCATGTAATCTGTCATGTAATCAATATCATTCTTTGATGTAATGAGCTTGTTGCGCAATTTTGTATCTTTAGTTTCCAAGAACTCTATCACAGAGTCAAACAGGTTGTAAAGAGGTAAAATCGAGTCAGACAATTGCCTCTTGATAGCCAACAAACTTCGGTATGAAACAACAAACGGTTGAAATCTTCGTCATTAGTAACACAAAGCTGATGAAATAATCTATCATTCAAAGAGCTGTTACGGATTTTGTTGACTGCTTTGATGACATATTGCAGTGATTGAAATAGTCGTTCACTTAAATTTCTAGCAACCAAATGTTGTCTATGAATAACGTAATGTACAGCAAGGACATCTGGAATTTTATTTTTTAAGTACGCTATGAAGCCTTTATGGCACCCTGTCATAACCTGAATGGCATCCGTAGCAACTGATATAATATTTTTCAAGGCAATCTCTTTCTCATTACAAAACTTTTCCAATGTATTGAATATGGTTTCGCCTTTTGTATCGGTTTCTAAATTTCTAGTAAACAATAGTTTTTATATTTTCTCATCTTTAATAAACACCACGTAAGACAGCAACAATGCTTCATTAGTTGGTAAAGTGGACTCATCGAGCTAAATTGAGAATTGACTAGTCCGTAGATGATTCACAATGATTCTTCAATGTTTTCAAACATTTCATCAATTTGTCTTTGCACAGAATTGTTACTCAAACGAATTTTTCGGATAATATTTGCGGAAGATTTATGAAGCACAGTAGTTATTACTACCTTTATTGCTGGCAAAATTAACTCTTCTCCGATGTTGTGTGGTTTGCCTTTTTGAGCAATTAACAAAGAGATATTGTACGAAGCTCGAAGTCTGTCGTCATCTTGCTTAGCAGCCGCCGAAAAGAGTTTAGCTACACTTGACTAAGTATTATGCTTCTTCTCTAGGTCTTGAAAACATGCAAATATCTGGATGCATTTTATTCAAATTATCTTGCAGTCTTGAAGGCTTCATTGCTTCATTCGAAAATGTTTTTAGACATAGAAGGCACAAAGGCGACGATGGGTTTGTGGGTTTTCAATGAATCCGAATTTAATATATTCCGCACAGTATTGCCGTAATATCTCTTCTTTTTTACTTCCGACATTGTTTTGTTTTGAGAAATACGTGAGTAAGTATTGAACTTAAGTACTGCTTATCTATTACGCGCGAAACCGCAAATGAAAATAAATAAATAAATATTACGTTGTTTATATAGGATAGCATAAGCAGCACGCACCGACAGGAATAAGACAAACATGCATATAAACTCGTTTATCTCATTCGACGCTCAATCGTACTCAACAAGTAAGAACAAGTATTCTATGAACCAGCCGATTGATACAGGAATGCACAAATAGGGTTATTTAACAAAAACTTGTTAAAACATCTACGAAAATTACCTGTTTAGGAATACTAGTAACTATTAAAATGCGAAACTGTGTCTGTTGCCTTTTTATTTGTTTGTTTGTGTCTACTTACATTTCGAAACGGTGCGACCGATTGACACGATTTTTATTTTATTTATTCAATAAAACAGGATAGATATATAAACTACTCGGAGAGAAATATCGAACCGAGTTAGTTTGAGCAATCTCTTAAATAATATTAGTGGATGTTCACAAGTTGTAGTCGAGAGCTCAATCGATGTCTAAGAGTCTTTTTAGACGAAATTACAAATCTCCCCCTAGGCCTCTACACAACGCCCCTATTTTTTTTCGGGATCTCTTACCGCCCCCCTTTAGGCGTGCAGTGCCCACAAGGGGGCGTTATCGCCCACTTTGGGAAAGGTTGTTCTAACAAAACAGTTTATCTTTTTGCGGGTTTTGAACACATCTTATAGGGTTTATGATATGTGTGTAGATACAATGATTTATTATTTACCTTGTATGTTGAGACATTAAAGATTGAATGTCATAAAATGGATCTGCCTACTTTTTTTCTGGTTATTTTACAAATTGTTTTTTCTATTACAGTGCATTGTCCTGGCATGCATTGCCACATCATTAACCAAAGAAATGGACAGGTCTAAAAGACATATAGCCTTTTGGAAGAATCTAATCACGTCATACCTGTTTGAACCGGATGCAACCACACGAGATTTCACACCAATTTTTGGAACACCAGCCGTCATAGATGGAAACAAAGAGAATTTCAAATTGTACCGTGTACCTGGATTTAATAATATTCTGGTTAAAGCTGTACCTAAAGTTAAAACGAATTTAACGAATGAAGATAATATTACTACTACTACTACTTCGCCATCTGAATTAGAAAAAGAAAAGGAACCAACTGTAGCGATATTAGAAACCTACTTAGGCACTAAGACCATGAATGACACCGCGAAAGCATTGCAGGGAGTCAGGGATATGCTTCAATCAGGAGTACTGGATGCTCAAAGTGGAGCTGCTGAAGAACACCCTAAAGAAACAGTATTCGTCATACCTCCAATGATGCCGCCAGAAGTACCAGTAGGTCCATTTCTATCTCATATCGCTCCAATGTCTGTGGTACAGAATTTCGTTTTACCAGACCTGAAACCCCTTTCTGTCCAAAGGATATTGCCGGTTCCTATTACACCTTCAGCTCAGTATTCCTTCAAACAAGTGAAAGGAGATGGGTCTGTGAGTGTTTCTAGCCCAGATGTAACAGAAATGTACAAACCACCCCCGCTTCTTGTCAATAGATTTCAGCATATGGTCAGAATGCCTTTCGCTCCTTTACCAACTCTACCTTCTCTACCGTCGATTCCAAATTATTTAGTGCCAAGACTCATGAACCGTGTAAATGTAGTAGATATGCCAATTCAACCTTTAGTAAATACTCCATCAATATTTGTAGAGCCGTCAAACGTTGCAGTCAAAGGCTACCCCTACCCGTACAAACCCTGCTGTAAAAGTGCAGTTGCGATTCCAGCAAAGCCTTCGTATTTAATTGAAAAAAATAATCCAGTATTCAGACCGCCTATGCTTGTGAAAGACACTGTTATGGTACCTAGACCACCTTCGATAATAATTAACAGACTAGAGAAGATTACAGGGGGAAAGCTTTTTGGGCAACGACCGATTATTACTGCGACTTCTTTTGTGTACCCATCGAGAGAATCGATTAATGAACAATCAAAGTTTGTCAATGTTCAACCTTTGTCAGCAGCATGGATATCTCCTGTACCATTTACAAACGGGAATGTTTCAGGGCATTCTTACAAAGTAGTTAACAAGGATGGGAGCGTGACAACTTTCTCAAAGCTATCGGATTATGTTGATGATTTAGCCTACAATGTGAATATGGAAAACGACGATGGATACTATCAAACAGACGATGGGAGAATATTCTATAGCCGTTTAGTGAAAGATCCATCTCTCGTAATGTCAAAAGATTTTCAGGATGAACTAGCAAAAAAACACAGGAAGAATCAGTACACTGTCACAAACGTAGAAGAATATAAAAATCTGCTCAATCATGATGATGTTCAAGTGACATACGGAACTGACAAGGATAATGATCCCTTCTTAAGCTATCGAGTTCCATCGGGAAGTTATTCTTTTCGGCAGGTGAAGGATTTTAGTAAACTTAAAGAAGACAATTTGCCGCCTCTGAAGTCTGGCATGAAGGAAACGTCAGATAATTTAACAACTACCGAGAAGGGGATTGTGTTACCGTCTGGCCCAAGCAGATATAGTTTTAAGCAAATTCACGATGATGGTTCCATTACTGAATATGTTGCATATGATTCTATAAATTCAAATGTTGACGTTTTACAAAATGTTCAAGATGCTAAAGAAAATTCAAAAGGACAAGCATCAATTCCTGGAGCAGTAACATTAAAAGAACCAACGTTTGTTTTCAAGCAGGTAAATAATAATAATTCACAGCCTGTTGTTGGCCAAGTTGAAGGTACGCCTACTAGGTTAGATGACAAAGACAAAGTCAATGCACCTGCTCATGTAAGATCAGATAGTGAAGTACATTCTGTGCCTCCATCTGTAGCCGCAACGGTGCCATCACCAATGGGTTTATCATCAACAGTGCCAAAAGATTTTATTTACATCCCGAAAGCTGATGGACCGTTTGTTTCCACGCATAAAGTTGTAAATGAAAGATTAATGGATAATTATCCTTCTAAAATTATTGACAGTAGAGCTATTTTCAAACCATCCAAGTCCTCAAGTAACGACAATACACCTATTTTCGGTAACACAAACCCAATTGTAGTCCCTGATGAAAATGAGGAGGAAGATGCTTCCAGTTCTAGAGGTGATGTTCCTGATGCCTTTTCTTAAATAGACATACTATTATTATTAAGTGGTTAGTGACTTTTTATGTAAATACTTATTTATTGCGTTAGTAGTAACATATTTATTCAACAGTGTTTAACTTATGTATTATTTCTAATGTTTTTTTTGTAATAAAACACTTTTTCTTAATTATATTTTATTAAGTTTTAAATAGTTTTACTATTATAATAATCATCTTCGACCATATTTCACGTTAAAATTTGCACCTAAGTTATTAATTCGATGATAGTAAGTTATTATAGGTATTCATTTCATCACGATAACACATCTTAATTGTAAAGAAAGGAAATTACTTCAAAGTAAAGAACAATATAGAATTAGAAAATAAAGTCTCATTTTTTATAGATTTTTAGGAAGAAAAATATCATATTTCTATAGTTAATACAATCAAACATTTAATTTGTATTTAACAACTTTTGTTCATATTTATAAGTACCTACTTACAAATACTTTGTGTAATAATTTACAATACTCCTATAAAACCACAAAAAATATTGGTGTGATGAATTATTGATGCATAGGTAGGTAATCATACAGTTACAATGTACGAGTAGATACTGACCGTTGACACCAGATAGATAGATTAAAATCTTCAATATAACCGTGATCAAATCACAAAGTCCAATCTTTTACGCATTCTGTTTCAGAAAAAAAAAACAGTTCTGTACTGGATTCATCTTTGTCAATCATAATTCTTTTGTTACATTCAACTTTTTACTACATACTTAATTAAACATTGATACCAAATTTTTCGGGAGAATCACACTGATTTTAAACAACTACAATCAGTTTGGCAACAATAGTTTAAAAATCACTTTACACGGCACTCTCCCGATGCAAAGTCAGGGTAACATCAGGTGGTGGTTCCCATTGGTCCCAAATGGCCCGAGGTTTTCTTCTTCGATCCACAGGTGGACCGTCATCGGCTGAGCAATCAGAGTACGCGCTGCTGCAGGAGCGAAGGCTGCACGAAGCGAGGACTTTGTGTTCTATGGAAGAGAAAGTTTGCTAAATTAATATACCTAAAGGGCTGAAGATACGGCAATACCGGAAAATGAAATTGGTTTAAATACGACTCGGAATAGATTTCTACGATTCCGTGTATCATATATAATATAATATATAATTAAGACACAAAAATACAAAAATTTTGTATTTTTGTGTCTTAATTGAGCAATAACAAAAACATACTTCTTTTGCGCTAGTGACAAAAAGATAAAAAGAAGCGAATAATATCTAAATTATCGTTATAAGAATCAAGTTAACGTAGTCTACTTGTTGTAAATGATTTAAATTTAATGATGGGGTGTTTTTACACACCAATGATAGACTATAGTAATTAATACAACGAAGGAATACCAACCAACCTCCAATGGTGTCCAAATAGTCCCTAGCCACATCATCAAGCTGCAGTACTTGTATGACAGGTGCTGGGGTCTTTCTGGGTCTTCTGGCTATTTTGACAGCCAAAGATGTGGATATGATGAACACTGCTACCAATACCACAGCCCCTATTGATATGCCTACATCCTTTTCAAGAATAACTGGAATTTAAAGAAAATTAGATAGTTGAGAACGATGGAACTATAGATGTTTATGTATGATCTACGAGTTCATAGCTGTATACAGTCTTATTATTAAGTATTAAGAATCTTTATAACTTAACAACTAAGTGTACCTAAAAATATTGTATTAATTTCGGACATGAATTGTATATGTAAAATCTCCGAAAAACTAAATATATATATACTTACAACTCCACCAAGGTGGTGATGCAGCATTCAGCAAGTTTTCTGTTGGTCTCAACAACAGAGCTCTAGAACAGCCGTATCTGTTACAAGCAGAAGCTCCGGCTTCGTCTCCGAATTTCAACTTCCCCAGAGCTCCTCGTACAAGCGATGTTCCTCCTTGTGAAGTGACTCCTCGAGCCATTGCTTGACCACTACCAAAGCCCATAGATCCTCGGCGTTCGAGTATCAGAGATGCATTTGATTTGGATATTCTCCAAACTGACACTTCGTAGTATGTTGCGTTTTCCACTGCAATTTGTAATTTTATTTTAAGAGTTGCTTTTGATAATGTGTGACCACTACAATTGGAGGAATGAAATGCATCTTCTGAGAAACTTAAGTAGTAAATAGATAGGTAAACTAGAAAACTGAATAGTATCCAATACCTATAAGTGCAAGACTTATTTTCCATTAATATTAATGATATAGTATTGGTGTACCACAAGGGTTTGCCCTAGGACACAAATAGGTTGTATCTATGTCGCGTATATTTATTAGATTTTTGACAAAATTTACATGATTCTATTAATTTAATGTGTCTATTAATATTTTAAAACTTATATCCATTACCTGAAGTGCATCTCATTTGGAATTCCCCGTATTCATAAGCTAAATCACATTGTTTTGGCTGCTGTGGTCTCAGTGGTTCTAAACCGATGGTTTTTTCACATGGTTTCTCTTGGGACGCTACACCATTCCCTGAGAAAATAAGAAAATAAAATATGCAATAAAATAAAGTGTGTAACTAGGTTACTCACTTATGACCGTAGTTACTTGTTATTCATATTCATACTCTTTTTTTACAAGTTACATGGTTATATAACAGGTGTTCTTAAGCTAATGGTAATTGACATGCAACACCCCGTGGGGGCACTGCAACATTCTGAGGGCACTATGTCCTTACTTTAGTAAAACATATACATTATTAAAATAAAATTAAAAATTCAATAAGAAAACTCTACATTATTTAAATAAAATTAAGATGATTAATGACAAAAAAAGCTAAACAGAATTTTAGGCAATATCAACAATAAATATTAGTTATTCCTTTTACATTTAGGTCTCATTCCTGACACACTTATGTCTGTCTATTTGACATACTTTACAAATTATAATTATTATAAACTTGGTAATTCGTTTTTAAGCACTATTTTCTATAAAGTATTCTTTTAGTGAGTAAAAAGCTTTGCTCTTTAGATGGGTTACAAAAGCCCTATATGTATCTTGTGTTTTTATATTTATTGGGATCGCATTATATATTTTAATTACCATACAGTGGGGCCCTTGAAGGGTATATACCTAGAGTACTGATAGGACGCTTCAACATGTGTAGACCTCTATTGTTACGATTCAGATTCTTTACAGGTGAGAAAAGATGATTGTATTTCTTTACAAATTTACTACACTCAAGAATGTAAACTGAGGTTAGTGTTAAAATCTTGTGTTTAATAAAGAACGACTTACAAGAGGTTTGTGAGTCCAAATTAGCAAGTATTCTTATACATTTCTTTTGAAGTAAGAATAAGTTGTCAATCTCAACGCAATTTCCCCATAAAACTTATGTGTTATTTTACCGTTTTTTACTTTTGTTATGGATGCGGAATTACTTCTGCTTAGACCTGAGGTCTAGAATTGTACTATAATACGACGAAGGATACTATAACGAATATAGATGACTATTTTCGAGTTCGTTGAATCTATGCTGTATTTGTCAGCGCAATGTTTCTTTAAACAAAGACATTTCAACTTCGTTGAGCTCGGTGTGTGCGTGCGTATGTGCAGTTGCTATAGATTTATGTTAATACGTATCTAGCATATTATTATACTCGTGGACGTGAAAGTGGTTGCGAAAGTTCTAAAATTTTATATCTAAAATCAAATTAAGGTGTACCTGCTTCACAAGTAGCTTTTAAAGGTCCCGATAAAGGTCCAGTGATTTGTGAGAGCGGTAATATCGGGGAGCCTGTCGTCAGCTGCTGCACTTCAAAACCTGCGGGCTGAACGTGCCAAAAGAATGTATCAGCTGCTGGCAGTGCTTTTACGTGGCAATGAATTGTTTCTTTGTCTAATGTGATACCGCGTTCTGAGCATTCTGGTGGATCTGCAAGATGCAAAATTTGATAAAGTTCAATGAGAATTTGTTGGAAGTTTCTAGTGCATAGGATATTGCTGTGTATTCTCCATAAGTATATTTTAGGAAGTTATCAATAGAAACTGCTAGTATCTTCAATTTCATAATGATCTTGAAAGTAACCATCAAAACTTACGTCTAAATACTTACAAAAAACTGTAATTGTGATTGGCTCGGATCTAGTTTCACCAACAACATTGGCAGCTGAGCAAGAATACTTCCCTGCATGATGTCGCGTCGCTTCTTCTACTAGTAACCTCTGCGATGATGTATTATCACCCCATATGCTGCCTGGTCTTATTTCAATATCCTATAAAAAAGTTTTCTCATGATACCAGTCAATGTACGGAAAGCCACCTTTGTTTATAATTTCAAATTGTACGTAAATATCACCCAATGTGAAGTGCTACTAAAATCGTTTTTAGTCAGTGTTATTTGTGATTTCACTTACATTAAAATACCAGGAAAATTTTTCAACCATTGGATTTGCTCTAGTTTCGCATTCTAAATGCAAGCTATCTAATTCAACCACGTCATTCAATCTTCCGTCTCCTAGTTTTGATATTTCTACTATTGGACTATCTGAAAAATAAAAGTACGTATAAAGTTGGGTACAGAATCAGAAGATTGTTAAAAGACTATTCCTTACTTTCAGCCCTAAGAAAGAAAAATGCGGCATCTACCGGATGCAGAAAGTACTTACAAGTAACGTTAAGCGTAATGACGTCGGCTTTCGAACCTCGACTGGGAGCCATTGCGGGGTTGGTAGCTACGCACGCTAGGGTTGCACCGTTGTCTCCGACAGATGGCGTTAGTTGTAAGTGCGATACTGCCGTGTTTGTCAGCCCATTCCATGACTGAAAACATTAAGATTATCATCACTTATCATAGCGAACCGTTAGTAAGTTTTAATTAATAGCTAGCACGGTCATATCTTTATTTAATCGTAAGCTCTGTGACTATGAAACTAACGACTAATTTACAGAGATAACTTTGGGTAATAGGCAGATGTAGGTTTTCAAATGAAAAAACGGTGGACTATAAATTATTAATTAACAACTCACCTGATTGCTGTGCTTCGTGAGATGCTTGTGATCCAGCCACCAAGACAAATCTGGAGGAGGGTAGGACCCGTAGGCTTGGCAATGGACGACAGCGGGCTTTCCTACTTCGAGTGTCTCGTCCAAAGTTCCTTCTACCCAGTGAATCGATACGTTGTAGGCGGGTACTGAAATATTAAGAATTGTAAAATGAAGCTTTGGTACTCTTTTTTGTTGAAGTTAATTTTATCGCCCAAAGATACAGTTCAAATATTAGCTGTACCTTTAGGCGTATACAGAGGTATTCTAAAAGGAAATACAGCGTAAGTAATTGAGATAATGAGGGATCGGATGTTAAATGTTGATGTTAGGTGTTCCTCAAGGTACTATATTGATGCCGATAGTATATTATGTGCATCCTATCTGTCTTTATTAATACTATAAATTTAACTACGTCTTTGTATAGGAGAAAGTAAAGTACAAGAGATTATTATTTATAGAAAAATATACCATACTCACAATACAATTCAACCTTTAAGGTAGTAATCAAAGGCGAAGTAAGACGCGAATTTGACGCTCTGCAGGATAAAGAAGCAGCATTATCTCTTGTTAAAGGTAAATAGAGTTCATTTTCCCTCATGTTGGGTACGTCGCTGTCTCCATCCGAGGCGTCCACAAGGGTTTCACCGGAGTACCAGCTAATGCGGGGTGGGGGGCGGCCTGAAAACATGTGTAATTACTTTGATTAATCAGTAATTAAGTGGTAATTAAACAATTCAAATGCCTACCCTTATTACGTCAGCGTGATTGTAGATTTTTACATTTATTATTTCTTGGCGACCTATATATGGGTTCAACGACAAGCAGGCGCGTGATATGTGGTATGTAATATATTTATTTAAACTTTACAAGAACAATATACTAGAAGCTTGTCGATAATTTGTATCATACATAATAAACTTGGTTTTAAATCTACTTTCTGAAACTCGTATCATATAAAGAGTGATTATTCAGGAGATGGCAAACGTGTATATTTATTTTAGAGTTGGGTCGCCGACTCAGAGACAGAGGCTGCGATCACCGCTCTGGGTCGTGGTTGGTTCAGCAGGTGTCCATTGCTGTCCAGCGAGGCAATGCTGCCAGTATAATGGGAACTTTTGCCCCGGGCACGATACAGGGCGGGATTTCTTTTTAAATTAAGTACATATATTTAACGTGAATCTCATTTTTTTTGTATTAGATTACCTATTGACGAAGTCTTGTGCTGATCTTTAGGTTATACATTTTATTATTGTTCATAAATGCATATTTATTTTAAATTTCTTATCAAGGGTGTTAATTTGTATGCATTACTTTAAGAATAGATAAAAAACAAGTGTGTAAATATGAAAGAAGTGTGATGTAAAATCAGCATGCAAAATTTGTACCCATATACAATCAATTTTTTGCATTTCAGTAACTTTGAGCTTTAAGATCTAGTATCTTAAAGCTCAAAGTTAAGTTAGTTTGAGAAAGTAAGGCGACGATATATTACAATAATGTATAATATTACAATTATTATGTACTCAAAGCAACATTATGCAGAGTCTTGATTTTGAGAATTGTTAAATGTTGGGTTCATGTGTCAAAAAAGATTAGGATACGTCACGACTTTTTTGACTGAACATTTTCATCATCTATATTTAAAATTTGCAAATTGCATGGCCTGCAGTGTATAAATAACGAGGGTGAAGTACTTCCCATACCTATTATCATAGTAGTGCCCTAGTGACAAAACTCATATACATCAAACACGCAATACCTGCAGCACTTAGGTACTTAATAATATGAATCTATAATAATATGAATTTTAAATGTTTATGACAAAACATGTCATGAATGCAAAAACGCGATGAGAACGACGTATCGAGAAAAGGCTGGTCTAGGTCATACTTCAGCCTAGATTTTAATGTTTTTTTTTTAATGGCCTAGCGGGTGGGCTGAGTCTGCCTGAGAGTTCCCGGTTAATTAGTCGTTTTTTCTCTTCACTTTTATGTATAAATTTGTTTAAGCATCATTGACTTACAATTATATGGACGTCGGGTCCGCGCTAAAAAGTGTCCGCACTTGTAACGCGCTAAAATCGTATACAGAGCGCGACACTCCGCTTTAGTCTTCATTTGTTCTACGGACAGCGCGATACTGCGATGACATAACAATTTAAATTTCGAATAGGTTGACTTGGGACATTTTTTTCGTGGTTTTTGTATTAGACCCGTCGTCCATTTATTTGTAAGTCAATGTTAAGCATCTATAGTTTAACTATTTTGTTATAATTGTTAATACAAAGATCGAACATCAAGTAAGATTCCTTCGATCCGGCTGGGTTTGAACTAGCGCCTACCGTGCTAGACGCTCTGCCAACTAAGCCACGGAACGAACCAGATCTTACGAATTTTTCTATGTGCTTTTTGCATATCTTTGTTTTTGGTTTTTAACGACTTTTTTGCTGTAGCGCCATCTGTGAGAATTATTTTACCATCGTTTTTAAATTTTTTATGTTACCAAGTGATGGTACGAAGAAGTCGTGCGCGCTTGGTGGTAAGCGACACGCTTACCCATAACAGTTGCAGTGCTACTCAGAGTTTTAAATCACAAACTAAGACCTTTGCGTTTTAAAGCTCTGAGTGGCACTGCAAGTGTTATGGATAGACATGCCGCTTACCGCCGCACGCACGACGTGTTCGTTCCGTCACTTGTTATTATAAAGTCCCATGTGCCTGTAATTTCACCAGCACCTTACACTTCAAAACCGGAACGCAGTAATGCTCACATTATTGCTTGGCGGCAGAAACAGGTAAGGTGACAGTACTTCCCTGGACGAACTCTTTCACAAGGAGCTCTATTGCTACAAATTCCATTAACTAAACGTCTTAATTACATTTGCTGGTAGTTTTCAGTGAACGAAGTCGGAGTTACGGAATATATTTACATTGTTATTGGGTGAAGTGGGAAGTTGGAATTCACTTACACAATATATGTACTGCAACCAATATTGAAAATGGTTTTAGGAAGCCATAAATTGCGGCATTGCAAAGGACGACTTATTTATTTTAAGACCGAAACCAAGGTGCAAAAACGGATGTTGGGCGCCAAAATGGCGCGTACAGTTCGTCGTCTACTCGATATTAAGCGAAACATACAAAAGTGTATCTGCAAAATAGTATATTTCAGAAGTTAGCAGTGGAACCAGCCGTGGCCTCATGCTGCAAAACGTATAATCTTAACGATCTGACAGGAGAATCTAATAGAGCATTTAGAGCGGTTACACACGGTGACTTTTACCAGCGATTCAAACGCGATGCAGTTGCTATGCAGTCGTTAATCGTCTCCCTTTACGACCATTCGCACGACTGCATCGATGCAAACGCGCGATTGTTTCGCTACACTCGGGATTTATAGGCGATTGCATCGATGCAATTGACTCTTAAAGTCATGTTACTTAATGAAAAATGTAGACTTAATGACCTTATTAAGGACAGGAAATGAACTGGCGCGATTGGAAATAAATATGTCTGTAATATGCTAGGAATTTCCTTGTGAATCTTCCTTAATTACGTTTATTTCGAAATCGAATTCGTTGTATTTAATCACCATTAACGGTGCATGAGAAGGCATTTCTAGATGAAAGATAACGCAAGTAAGATAAGGTCTATTAAACTAACTCGGTAGGAAATTCTCCAACTTTGAAAATTTAGCAATAAGAGTTGATATACATGAGCTCGAATTAAATTTTTTCCTGTACTGAATCGGTTCTATGGCGCGAGTCGAGTGACAGGGACACTGGCTTTATGTCAGAATTTGTTTTTTTACAAATAAAATTAAAGGTATTTGAAGAATGTATCTCGTATACTATTTAGTTCAGTTGATATTAAAAGAATCGTTGTTATATATAAAGAAAAGTTTCTTGTAAAATTTCGAGGAAGTTTGTTTTCTTTCTATCGTGGAAATTTTTAGAAATCGTGTTTTACGCCGAAGATTAATCAGTGTATGTCCTCAATTTTTTACTATATATTTGTTCCAAATCAATCAAATCAACCAAAGCCATTTGAGGTTGTATAGACTGTTCATTATTTATTAATTTCTAAAGATTTTCCTGTATACAGCTGCACATCGTATAGTCAATGATAAACTCAAAAATGAGGGTAAGAATATATTCCGTTCCTTCCGACCCGACCAACGGGGCGCACTCGGCGCTTGCATGATTTATTTGACTCTAAAACTGACTTTGACAACATGTTACATCGACATGATTTTACTCAGACATTACGTTACTCCGACAATATGTTACTTCGACATTAAAGTACTCAGATACTACGCTACATCGACAACACAGACGAGGTGTTTATTAAAAAAAAATGTTTGTGCTCTGACAAGAAAAATCATCATTACAAACCCATCTAGGAAATGGTTTCTTATATAGATATATATCGATCAATATAACAAAAAAAAAACAAAATCATATAATCGAAAAATTCTTTTATTAGTTATATAAAGTGTAACAAAAAACTATTAAATTAAAATATAAATTTTTACTACACTATTTCATGTATGTGCATAAACTTAATTACAGTAAACAGAAAAAACATAAATGATTATTTTCGGGACGGAAGAAAATTTTAAACTGCTTTTAGAAAGCACAATTTTGGATAATGGATTTTTGGTGGATTTTAATGGGACTTTTGAAATAGTATATTTTATTTTATTTTAATTTTTTTTTTCTTTCACTTTATACAGAGTGTTTTATTTAATGGGACAATTGAAGAAACAACTGAAATCATAGAAGATACAAGAAAACTGTCTTAGAAACCATAAAGTTTTTTTATCAATTTCGGCATATTTTTTTTAGTCAAGCGTAGGTTGTCCATAATAATTAATAAAATTGATCAAAATTTTGTTTAGTGCTGATCGACTCAGAGTTACGAAGGAATCATTTCATTGTATGGGATGACGAAATCTGGGCAGCAGAAGATGATCAAATTCAATTAAATATTTTTCAAATTGACAACAAATTGACAACTTCAGTTGTAGTGACAAAGTTTTTTTTAATGCTAATAGACTCGGTTTATTAAAATAATGACTTCATTGTACCCGAAGAAAAATATCGGGACAGCAAAGTTGGCAGCAAAATTTTCATTCAAATTTTATTAAATTTGACGAACTTCTGCTGTCCCGATTTTCTTCATCCCATACAATGAAATGATCCCGTCATAACTCTGAGTCGATCAGCACTAAAAAAGATTTTGATCATTTTATTTGTTTTTATGGACAACTCTCGCTTGACCAAAAAATTTACTATGCCAAAATTATTTTCCCAAAAAAAGACGACTTTATGGTTCCTAAGATAGTTTCGTTGTATCTTCTGTGGTTTCGGATTTCCTCATACTGTCCCGTTTAAAAAAAAACTCTGCATTTTAATAAAATAAATTTCCGATTACATAATGTTGTCCTTTTTTTGTCATAGTGATCGATATAAGAAATCATTTCCTATGTGGGTTTGTAATGATGATTTTTCTTATCGTACAAAGATTTTTTTTAATAAACACCTCGTCTGTATTGTCGGAGTAGCGTAGTGTCTGAGTAAAATAATGTCGAAGTAACATATTGTCTGAGTAAAATCATGTCGATGTAACATGTTGTCGGAGTAGGGTAGTGTCTGAGTAAAATAATGTCGAAGTAACAAATTGTCGGAGTAACGTAATGTCTGAGTAAAATCATGTCGATGTAACATGTTGTCGGAGTCGCGTGAGTCGAAGTTCAGTTTTAGAGTCGATTCATTTATTGTGGAAGTGTGATGAAACTGTTCTTTCTATCATAAATATTATATGGTATGTTTAATTTTATTAGTATGGTTACATACTTATTTACTTTTGAAAAAAATTAAATGTTTTCTAGTAATTTTACTGTTAGTTTTTTTTATCTTTTATGTATATGAAATATAAATACGTATTCTGTTTCCCACAATTAATTTTATCTTACAGTTTTTCCTGTAACTCGAAGGTTGCCTGGAAGAGATTGCTATTTAGCAATAAGGCCGCCTGTTGTACCTGTCACTTTTACTTTTTTATTTCAAAGTCAAAGTCAAACAATCATTTATTGCATAGGTAAATTTTTTACATTTGAAAACGTCACATTTAAGCTACTGCTCGTTCACTACGCTGACTTCCTTGAAAAGAACGAGCAAGAAATTCTAGGCATTACTCTTTTCAAATAAACTTAAATGCTATTTGTATTGTAAAACAAGTTAGGATTAGGATATTCTTAAACTATAAAATAAACTTATAATTGTATTTGAAGTGTACTTGGATAATAAGTTACTTTACCTTGTAAAAAATATTTATATTTATATTATTTGTATTTCAAATACAAACAAACCTTCTGTGTCAAATTGTAAGTTATGCATATTATGATGGCCAGCATCAAATTGTTAACTTCTGAGGTGAACCACACAAGTTTTGTGTTTTTCTATTTTAGACGTAAGAGATAAACTACGGGCAAAAAATAATTGCTCATGGTCCACCGAGGTGAATAAGTGAGGTGGTCCATGGGCCGCAAAATTACATGCAAAGTTGAATTTTTTTATTTTAAATATGATCCTTGTATCATAACTTGTACGTAACAGCTATACAACAAGTTACAAAAATAAAAAAAATAAATTTCATGTTAATATATATTTTTTATTCATTTCATCCACTGCTGATTATAGCCCCATTACCTGCTCTCAGACTAGGAAATACCCTGTACTAAGAGTACTATAGAGCAATGGAATTCATTCCGAAACATTACCCTGAACAACCAGACCAGAGAATCGACCCTACGATTTACTCGTCCACTGTTAAATATAACGCAGGTTACAAACTTTGTTTTTATATTTAAAACTACATAATGCACACTTTTGTTACAACAGATTTTTAGTATAGTGTTGCCATATTAGTATGGTGAAATCTAACATACATTTTAGACAATGTTGCCTATTAAAATTACCAAATAAATAAAATTTAGAATGTTCTATTTATTAATTGAACATCCAGCTTTGGTTCCAAGAATTCGTCAAAAACATTTGTATGTTATCTCTATTCCAGATTTTCTGAGATATCTTATCCTATTTTCGTAATATTTAACAACTTGTGGAAACTGGACAAACGTCCAGTATTATTAATGTATAATTAATTAAGTTAAGCGAAATGTTCGAGCATAATGGGTTGATAACTGTTTTTTTTTTTAAGTTACGAAATAACTAACAAAACCGAAATTACCAAATTGATCCAATTGACCTTCTGTGATCTAATCTATTGGGCAAAATTACAATTGTAGTGCCTTTTGACCCTGTGATAATATAATATATAATACGTAATAATAATAAATAGTTACAAGAACCCTCTTGTCATTTTTGTATTTGCTTTGGTTCATCAGTTCGTTAATAAACGTTCGACTGTTAAGCTGTGTCCTTTGCGCCGATATAAAACAGTGACGACGAGGCCTATAATTAAATTTTCTGTTTGCAAAAAAGTAACCTACGCGTGACATGAATGTGTTGTTTTTATTAACAAGATGAACGTTATATATATACAAAAAACCAATGCCGATTGGAAAAATATCAGAGTTCGATGTGCATCAAGACGATTGGCGTTTCTATGTCGAATGCCTCGAACATTTCATCGTAATAATGTGAAGAGCGAACATCAAGTGCTAACGTCAAGTGACGGGTGCAGAAGCTTAAGAACTATTGGTGAACTTATGCAAACCGGAGCGACCCAAGTCAAAAACATTCCAACAGATCGCCGCCATATTGGAAGGTCATTTACAGCCGAAACCCACTAGGAGTTACCCGAGATATACATATTTAGACACAGAACGCAAAATAATGGCGAGATTATAGCGGAATATACGACCATTTTAAAACGTATGTCGGAAACGTGCGACTTATGAGAAAACCAAGCTTCAGTATGTGCGTAACAGGTTAATGATATCACGACATACCTCCTATGACATAGCAAGTCAGCACAAGAGTATCCCCTTCATGATACGGACCGATTCTCTGCTCGACCGTGTTGTGCATCTCGTCCATGAAGAATGGCTGCCCTGGAAGCACTGAAAGTACAACAAACAAAGGATTTTAAATAAGTTAATTAAAAGAAAATAGTCCCTAATTGATTGAAGGTGCTTTCTTCCCCTTTTCGTAACTTCGAACGAGGTTACGAGTTCGGTGATTGCCACCGTAGTGTTACCACAAAACAATTTTATTGAATTCACAAATGTGAAAAGTTCGTGACGTTAGTTTTGATAGCGTAAACGCGCGATAGCATCCATTTGACAAACATAGTTTTTAACCGACTTCAAAAAAGGAGGAGAAAAATTCAACTGTATTTGTTTGTGTATACATTACGCGACATTTAATCCGACATTTGTGAACCGATTGCTATGATTCTTTTTTGTTACAATGGGGGTAGTTCAGTAGTGACCACATTCAATTTTGAAGAAAATATTCCAACTCTAAGGGTGGCAAATTAGGGGTGAATCCAATTTTATATTATTTCACCCACTTTTCGTTAACCTATTTCAATAAGACATGGCAAATAGTAATTCTACAAACTTTTCAGATCGGTTTTCTTTTTATAAAAATGTTATAATTATTAACTCTTATGTGTTTATGTAATTTTTCGGAGGAGTTGCAGAATAAGCACAACCGACTCGCCCGTCCGTTGGCGCGGGAGCCCTGGCGTAAGCTAGGGCGGCCGGGCGGCGTCGTGGTGAATGTTCACTGATCCCACGGCGCCGACTCAACCGGCGAGAGGGAAACCCGGGGGGGGTCTTAGTGGGGTAGGCCCTCAAGTCTGGAGGGAGAGTCCCCACATAACCCCTGAGTCTCCTTGGGCTCAGGGGTATCCATAAAGATTTCCCCCCGTCAAAAAAAAAAAAAAAAAAAAAGGAGTTGCAGAATAGGACTATAAGTAAATCAATAAGAGGAGATGGCAAATTCAGAAGGCTCATCAGTATCTCTTTCTATAAGTATTTCTATAAAACATGTAAGAAATATAGCGAAGAAATTTAGAAAAAGAAGTTCGTGATGTAAGGAACTTACCAACCACAGTGACGTTCACTCCCAAATATCTTGTCTGTGCCAAGGCAAAGTCCACACGGCAATGATACAAGGCTTGATCGTACTCCATAAGGTCCGTTATTATAAGAGAAGTTGGTTGACTGTTTATGTCTGCTTTTAGTCGTTGGCCGTCTTTTATGTCATTGATCTTGTCGCTGAACCACTCTCGGCCTATGCGGGCGTCGAAACTGTAGAGACAACACGACAATTTAAAAGAGAAATCGAAATATACACGGTAAAGTCCTGAATTCGATATTTTTGCTCCGTTCCACATTGGTAAACGGTCGTGATGCCAGTTATTACTGTTTTACAGGTCATATCCAGACACGCAACCATCGGTTGCCCGGGTAACAAACATACCGACTCATCCGAAGAACAGAGTCCGATGTAATAATATAGCGAAAAGAGAATAAGTACGTTACGAGAATAATTTCGTTATTCAAACTAAGGTCTATGTATGGGTGTTTTTGATAATTTATATATCTTATTTCGTTTCGGAAATATAGAATCGAACAACGGTCGATCTGACATCCACAGCGAAGAAAAACGAACGAAATGTACTATGTCCTGAGAACAACTCTATACTAATAGTCTTGTACATAGATCTTTGTTCCACGGATGAGTCGATACAGTATCACCGTACATAATATGTTATCGGCATTGTGTGTAATCCGGTATTCTTACAATACCTCCGTATTCTATATAATGCGTAAAATATTTTTAGTCAATGTATGGCATGAACTCTATTATAAATTTAGTGTAAGAATTCTTTACAATGTCGAGCGTGCATTAGACAATTTGTCACAATAGTTCGTCTTGTACGAATAAGGAGGTATTTTATATTTATTTTTGAGTGAAATCGAATAGTGTCAATTTTTATTACAACTCCCGTTTTGGTCAACGAAAAATTTGTGATTACAATACAATTCAATTCATTTAAAAACTAATTACATAATTATTTCAATCCGCAACGTAGGCTTCGTCAGGAAGAAAGTATGTAATTAGAACAATTGTTAAAAAAGTCTTTGTTCTAAACAAGGAATGAAAAGATTGATACATTAAATATGCACGCTACACAAATAACTTAGTACAAAATTTGTACAAAATTGACTTACTACAAAAATTTTAATTCAACTTTATAGGAACCAAACACCCATATTCGTTTTTCATTGTTTGTTTAAAGAATTCAATATTTCGCTTTTCGAATAATCGGTATCCATAATATTTTTTTGGAAACGCAAACAAAATCAGTTTTGGCTAGGTTTTTCTTTTTTTTTTCGCGGGGAAATCCTCCTAGGATACCTCTCCGCCGCGTGGGACTTCTACCGGCTAAAGCCCCACGGTGCACGGTGCAAGTCTTCTCGGGTGCTCTAGTGGGAGGGATCCGGGATCGAGTTTGCGCACCCTCCCAGCACCTAGAAGGACCTACGTCCTCCCCCTCCCCTCCTCAGCGCGCCACAACGCCCCGTCGTCCTCCTCGCGGCTGTTAAACTTACTGGCGATTGAAGCCCCTGCTCCGATCACCCGCAGCCGCGAAGGTACGCCTCTGGGCTAGTCTTTTCATATACTAACTCAACCTAAACGCACAGGTGGTCGAAACAGCTCAGAAAAGCAAACAGAAACAACTAATTTGATTATTTTGTCTTTCATTGAATACTTTGCCAAATCTACGGCTGGCATTCTATACAATACCTAGACTTTGTATACAATGTCTATGCAATGTGTATAACCGTTAAATTTTTTAAACTACACACATCAAAAGTGTCTAGGGATCAAGTACGTTTAAGAGTATTGCTGCAATTAGGGTTAATTATATTAACTTTTTTGTATCGCTATTGATACTTTTTAGTGAGTTTTAACATTTAAATAAGGAATATTGTTTAAAATTCGATAATAAGACGAAAATCGATTGTCAATGTGGTTTTGTATAAAAATGAGTTGTAGCGTTTTGACAAAATCATTACAATATCTGCATCGGAACCGAAACAATTTACATTATTATGGAGAGACGACATCATTTAACCCGAGAAGTGATGATGCGAGCCGTCGGAATGTTGGAAGCTGGTTCCAGGCAACGTGCTGTGGCTTTCACTCTTAACACTACACAGAGCGTCATAAGTCGCCTCTGGACGCGCTATCGCATGACGGGCAGCGTGGCCAAGCGACATGGAGGACGATCTCGCATCACGACTCGCAGACAGGACCGGTATATCCAAAATACTGCTCGACGGAATCGTACCATGACCGCCATGATGTTGGTTACGAGGCTCCACAGCTCCTCAGGCTTGCTAATAAGCGATCAAACAATCCGAAATCGTTTACGTGAAGTGGGTCTGCGATCCCGAAGGCCGCTCAGAGTTCCACCTATTGCACCCTGCAATCGCAGGACCCGTTTACGATGGGCTCGCGAACACAGAAACTGGGAGGAAGAAGACTGGCGCTATGTGTGCTTTTCGGATGAATCCCGCTTCGGTATGAGACCGGATACAAGACGTACTCGAGTTTGGAGAACATCTGGACGTCATGAACGTTTGAGATATTGTCAGGAAGTTCATCCATATGGTGGGGGAACAATAATGATATGGGCCGGTATTTGGATCGGCGGAAGAACCGATCTCATTTGTATCAGGGGTAACCTCAATGCTCAAGTTTACGCAGAGAGGATTGTTTCAGATGTTATCATCCCTTTGCGAGGCCAGTTGGGTGATTCATTTCAACTAATGCATGACAACGCACGTCCACACACGGCTAGAGTCGTAACACGCATTCTTGCCGAAGCTCGTATCAACGTTCTGCCGTGGCCTGCTCAATCGCCAGACCTCAATCCAATTGAGCACGCATGGGATATGCTTCAAAGAAGAGCTGTGCCGAGTATGCATACCGTACATACTCTACAACAATATTTTGACTTGTTACAAAACACATGGGCGGCCATTCCTCAAAGTGATTTTGATGAACTCATCTTAAGCATGCCAAATCGCTGTAATTGTGTGATTCGTGTTAATGGTGGAAATACAGATTATTAATTTTCTTATTTTTACAATAAAAATGAGCAAAATCATCATTTTCGCCATTTTTTTGTCATTTAATTGACGCCGTTAATTTGAGTTTTTTCCCACAATTTGCAAAAACATCAATTTTAGTTTATTTTTATTAAATATAGGGGTAAGCGGTTAAATAAAACATAAGCATTAAAGTAAGAAGTCGTCCTGGAAGACTGGATTTGGTAAATATTGCTTAAATAATTTTTATTTCAAAAATATTCACTTGATCCCTAGACACTTTTGATGTGTGTATTTT